TTATCATGCTAAAAACACCCACGGGACGCTTCGTAGTCCTCGATGGCCATAGTTAGCTCTCGAAGGCTAAAAACCTTACGCTAACTGGAGCGCTTCTCTCTCATTAGTGCTGGATGGAGGGATGTTACCATGAGGTTGCCTCTGAGACAAATCCCAAAAATGTTTATTAAGGTGTCACATTTTGCCCACAAAATTAAATTTTAACAGTTATAAAACAGCATGTAGTGCCTACATTGTTTGGTGTCCTGTGGCCATCATTGTGTCCAGCAGCTTCGATCATGAATGAAATGTTGTCTATTGGAGGACCACAAGCAATGGGTGACCCTGATAAGATGTTCCATTTCATTCTTTCATCACATACCTAGGGACAGAACAAACAACACAGAACAAGCACATTGGGATTTTAAACAACAGGTATGAAAATGAAATACTGCTTTGTCGATTCGAAGCAGTAGTGGTGGAACACAAAGGGGATATGGGAATTGGCCCACAAACATTTTCTGAAAAAGAAAAAAAGCTCAACGATCAACTCTCTCTCTCTCTCTCTCTCTCTCTACTTTGATTGAATCCCTTGGGGAGAAACGTGTGCGCTAGAAGTGGACAGGTTGCAGAATAATGAAAATATAATTTTTAATGATTGTTTAAAATTCAGGTGAAAAGGTCAACATTTCTATAAGCATAGATGGCAATGGCGAGTGATGAAAATAGCGGAAGGGGCGTGGCTTGGCCGGGGGCGTGGTTACTTATAAAAGTGGCACTAAACATGCTGAAGATAAAGTGTATTGAATTTACACACTATTTGAAAATTGAACAGAAAAAAATCCCAAGATCGCCACTATTCTTTCAAGTGAAAAGTTGTGCAATTTTGCTTATGGATTCCTGGTGAGCATATGTGTATAACTCCAAATTTGCTGCTCAAAATCAAAACTAAAAAAGTAAACACATTCCCTGCCATATTTAAGATTTGTTCATGACTTGTATTCATAAAGTGTTGTGTAAATGTGATAAAAATCTGTTGATTCTTACCTCATACAGTAACGTCTTTAGTTGTATTTGTCCAAGAGCTTCTGTAACTTCGTCGAACTTGGAACCAATTTTAACCTTTACAGTGACTTTTCTGTCAAGCCAGTCCCATCGGAATTTATTCTTGACATTTGAGTCAATTTCTGGGATTGAAGACTCCTGATCTTTCGTCAAAAATTTCATAATTCCGCTCAAAACGATCCCAGAACAATGAATTTGCGAGACGAACAGGCCGCCATGAATCATGTAAAACAATATGTTACATGCAATTTGATTGGTCCAAGCGCTTGTAGTTAACCAATCGCTGGGCCGTATATAATCGAACTAAGACTTCCACAACAAATAATGCCTTCAGTGATCTGATTAGTTGAAGCTTTCATACACGTCCAATCGCAGGGCTGTTTACAAACGGAAAACGGAGAGACTGTTCGGGAGAGCTCGTGAAAACTCGATGATAAGGTACCTGACCGCCCCTAAAATTTTCTCAACGGATTTAGACGATTCACAAAAATGATCAATTTAAGAAATAAAACGGCGGATTTCCGCGGAAAATTGCCATCTATGTATAAGCCTTTTATTTTGAAATGCAACATCAGATCTGAAAGTATACCTGTATTTGGTTGGATACATGGGGAGGCCCGGTGTGTACTAGACATAGTCTGTTTCTGGGATAACTTTTTTTTTTAATCAGGTGTAAAGGTCAAACTGTCAGATTTGAGTGGCCTTTTATTTTGAAATACAACATCAGAATTGATGTAGAGTTGAATAACTTTTGTTTCTATCTCAACTTCAGAACCCTTCTATGTGCTATTCTGAGACAGTTTTCATTCTCCCTGCATGAACTCGTTGCCTGGCCGCTGAGAAGTTATTTGATAACATTATTTTAAATACAAACCATTGAAGCGGATGCATTAGTTGGACATCTTTTATTTTGAAGGTGGCCAACGCCGGTCGCCGTAATGCACAGTACAGTATTAACAATCACTGTGGCGGCTGGCTTGATTTCAACTTTGCGAGTGGAGGCTGGCGTGACCTCAGTAAAATGGCGGATAAAATGAACGGACGTTGCCAATTTCTTCAGCTTAACTGCTCATTCCTCACTTACTTTATATTCCGAGAAAAATATGGCGCTCAAAGCATGAAAGAGACATGTATGCTGTTTTCGTAGTCTCATAAAAACACCTTTGAGTTACTCCACAGACATACCGGCAAAATCATGAAATAGACATGTATACTTTTGATAGCTGGGTCGATAGTGTCATAAAAAATACCTTGAGTTCCGCTACTGTAACCGACTTGTCTCCCAGCTGCAAAAAAATGTCCTCGGCCGAGTCCGGGCATGAATGAGGTGTCGTCGGCAGGACAGATAACGAGGACGAACGGGAACTCCGGGTGAACCTAAGGGTTCTGTTTGTTTTCAGCGTTGAAAGTCTGTTGCGAATTAGCCTTGAATAACATTTGTGGAAACGCACCCACAAATAAACGTAACACAATGTTATCAACATTCTAGAAACTGTGTCTATGTACAGTACAAGGTGTCATTGTTGATAATAGAATAACTTTGCCTCGAAAAAAAAAATTCAAGGGGACATCAACCTACCAATAGCACCAAGGAACGATATGCTTTGCGCATGCGCAGCACGTCCACATCCTTGATCACAAACTACGGCATATATACTAGGACAAAAAAAAGGCTGTTCTAAACGGTGTGTACTCGGAAAAATGTACTAAGAAAGAGACATGTAATAGACAGACAGACAGATAGATAGATAGATAGATAGATAGATAGATAGATAGATAGATAGATAGATAGACAGACATTACTGTGGTTAGTTGTGTTGTGTGGCCAATTGCATAAAAAAGTTGAAAACACATCACTGACGTAAAGTAATTCACAACGTAGCTAGTAATGTTGCAAAGTCCAAAATGGATATTCATTTTTGAAATGCAGTGAAATTTAGTATATAAAGTGCAGTATTCAAAAATTGCTCAGCAGATCAGGACAGCATTCAAGTAAATTTACATATTAATGTCCACCACAAGGTGTTTTTTTTTTTTGTATGATAGTGGTTTTACTTCATTTCTCAGATCAGATGTGAGCACTGAGCAGGCTCCTTCCGTGTCATATTAAATCTAATTTCTGAAAATCTTGCAACCTGACCACAGAATGTCTTGACAAATCCAAAATATTAGGTATTTGCTGTTAATAGTTTACTCATGAAAAATCATTGATTGGAAGGTATTTTCGACCATTTTTTTTGGGGGGGGGGGGTCATACTCTGAAAGACCACTTTTAAACAGCAATATATGCAAAATTGTCTTACCTGAGGTCTTCAACTTCTATACGGTGTATCTATCCATCCATCCATCCATTCAATTTCTCCCACTTATCTGAGGTCTGTTCACTGAGGCAGCAGCTTCAGCATCAAAGTCCAGTGTGCATATGACTGTAATGTAGTGTCCAATGTGTGTAGAGTATACTGTATATTGTCTTGTATTGTATGTAATTGTCCAATTTATGTTGTGTTGTGTAGGTGTACATTTTTGCTCAATGTATGTAGCAACACAGTGGGCCTGTCCTCCGAGACAAGTTTCTCCTACGGGAGACCAAATAAAAGTCAAATTCAAATTCCTTCTCCCCAACCATGTCTTCCAACTCTTCCAGAAGGATCCCAATGCATTTCCAGCCAGGAGACATCGTATCTCCAGTGTGTCCTGGGGTCATCCCCAGTGCCGCCTGCGGGTGGGACAAGTCCGGAACACCTCACCAGGTAGGCGTCTAGGAGGCATCCTCAAGAGGTCCCCGAGCCACCTCATCTGGCTCCTCTCAATGTGGAGGAGGAGTTGAGGCTCGACTGTGCATCTCAATATATTGGTCAATCTACATTCCTACTCTCACCTATGGTCGTGAGTTGTGGGTCGTTACCTAAAGACCAAGATCCCAGATACAAGCGGTCTCCAAGGAAGAGACCGGACACCCTGCGGAAAAATTCATTTCGGCCGCATCTATCCTTGTTCTTGTTCTTTCGGTCGCGACCCATAGCTCGTGACCATAGGTGAAGGTTGGAACGTAGATGGACCGGTAAATTGAGAGCTTCACCTTTTGGGATCAGCTCCTTCTTCACCACAGCAGACCAATACAAAGTCTGCATCACAACAGACGCTGCACCAATCCGCCTGTTGATCTCCCACTCCCTCCCCCTCACTCATGAACAAGACCCCAACATACTTAAACTCCTCCACTTGGGGCAAGATCTCTTTCCCGACTCGAAGAGGGCACTCCACCCTTTTCGGACTGAGGAACATTGTTTCAGATTTGGATGATTTTGTGAAAAAAAGCGTTGAGGACACAACTAAGCCATTTTAAAACAGCACAATACACAAAATCAAATCAATAAATAAATATTTTGCCAAACATGACGTGTATGCCAAGTTTCATCACTGAGATTAAGACCATCAAAATTAGCATCAGTTTCCTGATCAAACAGTGTGTTGCCACGGCAACACTGTTGGACGAAATAAAAAGGCTTGGTTTTATTTTATATTTTAAATTTTTTTTAGATGAAGCACCCATAGTTTCAAGACCAACCGTTGAAATCTCAAGGATAAGTTCTTTAACGTGACCTCTCTAAACATGTTGGTTGTTCACATTAATCTAATTAAGTATTGATGCTGTCGCTCGGTCTGATTTATTCACAAAAATTCATAAGTTTTCGTACATGTTCAGCCACTTAAAAGTAATGTTGTCTTGGCAAAGAGTGGACTACTATGGCAACAGCTTTTCGCGAAAATTCACAAACTTCCTGTTGCGACATCAAGAAGGCCTAAACACTCTTCCAAGCAAATATGAGGTAAATCTGGCTAAACGCTGAGAGAAAAACATGAGCGAATAAAACACATTTTCTTTTGTCAGTCGGTGGCGCTACCACTACGATACAAATATGCTTGTAGATGACTTCAGGCCTCGACTCTCATCAAATGTGTGAAATTCTCACAAGGTATGATCATGTGGGTCAAGCAGCTCTTGTTGTCAAGGTGACACCAAATTTTAAAGACAATTCTAAATGGAGAACTTTGTATACTTCCTATTAGGTTTACCATAAGGCTCCGAAAAACTTTTTTGTCGGTCTTGGGCTGTTAATTACACCACAACATTTTCAAACATTTAGGTGAAACATACAACATGGGCTGCTTTTTAGAAAATTTCTCGGGGTCACTTGTGAGGTGTTTTTTTTTTTTTAATTACACAATAATAAATCTTGATATTTTGCCAGGCCTGATGCATGTGCACAATTTCATGAGTTTTTGTGCATGCTTATACCCTCAGAATTAGCATGGTTTGATTGGAGAACTGTGCATTGCCACGACAACAGTGTTTCTCAATAAGATCACAAATGCTCTGTTTTATCATGATCGCGATCGACCGGTAGCTCACAGACTGGTCCCAAGTTAAAAGGACTCCCGGTCCAACCGTTCAGTGTCGGGTCAGTTTCTGTTGGTTAGTGTTTGTGTGTTCTTTCCATGGAATTTTGTTTGTATCGCTTTCACCTTGTTTTTGAGTTAGCCTTAGCCATTGTTTACACTGCATTGTTGCACACCATCCAGTGGCTTGGAATTCCTTCCTTCCTTGGGTTGAATATGCCCACAACTCCCTCTGCTGCTAAGCTACAGGTATGTTACCCTTCATGGCGTGCTATGGCTTCCAGCCTCCCTTGTTCCATGACCAGGGGGGGAGGTCGCGGTCCCTGCTGTCAGGGATCGTGTCCGCAGAATCCAGGCGGTGTGGAAGTCCGTCAGGGCGGCCCTTGCTTGTACTGCTGAGAGAAACAAACGGCTCGCTGACCGCCATCGTTCTCCCGCTCCTGAATACCAGGTTGTACAGAAAGTCTGGTTGTCGTCACGTGATCTTCCCCTTCATGCTGAGTCTCGTTAAACTCGCTCCCGGGTTTGTGGGTCCCTTCACAATTTCTAAGATCGTTAATCCCTCCTCCCTCCGTCTGGACCTCCCTGCGTCTATGAACGTCCACCCCACCTTTCATGTTTCCCTCATCAAGCTTGTTTCCTCCAGCGTCCTCTGCCCTCCGGCCGCTTACCCTCCGCCCGAGAAAAGCAGATCTTTGGTCAAAAAAGGTTGGGCACCCCTGGCCTGAACACTCTTCCAAGCAATTATTATGTTGACCTGGTTCACCTGGTTGGGGAAAAACATCAAAGAATAAAGTATGTATTTCCTTTAGCCAATAGGTAGTGCTAACCACTACCAAGAAAAATATGTTCCGATGTCTCCGGGCTTGGACAATCATCAAATGTGAGAAATCTTACTTGTATCTGATCATGTGGGTCAAGTTTCAGCAGCTTTAATTATCACGGTAAATAAGCAGACTTTGCGCCACCGTAATGGTTACACCCTCTGCTGAAAACTCACAATATTTGGCAGAGGCACTTTTCTGACAAAATTTCAGTAGGATTCATTTAACGGGCCAGTATATTTCTTCTCACCAGTAAATGAAGCTACATATATAACAGTATACAGGGTGTCCATAAAGCCTCTTTACAATTTGTAAAATGATTCCAAAGGCAGTTGATTTTAACCCGATTTGTTTTATCGGTTAATCAGTGTTGATTAAACGCACAGTGTGTGTCCTGGTTTATTAAGACAAAATCGGATGTTCGGACTGAACGAAACTACAGAACAAAGTATGAAATAGAGCTAACGTCGCGCCCTTCACTTCGTGCATGACTCAAGAAATTTATGAAGACAGCGACAGTGTTGGACAAAGGGAGTTAAATTTCAAAGTGCCTAAATAGTTTTAATTGTAAAGAGATTTTATGAACACTCTCTATTGTCATGTAGATGTCCTCAGGTCGCAACTATTTATAAACATGTGAAGTTTGGGATTTTTGCATGGTAGTTATGAAGCATTTCCTCGAAAGAAATATGAAATGCAAAGTTTAATAACAACAATCAATTCTACAAAAACAATGGGGACCTCGGAGCGGTTGCTGATCGCACGCTAATCTTAAGAATAATACTGTACAAAAAAAAAAAAAAAAAAAAAAAAAAAAAAAAAAAAGGGACCTTGCAGTAGTCACTAGTCAGGCCCTGATCTTTTCTACAAAAACAATAGAGACTTCGCAGCGATTGCTGCTCATAATTTCTTCAAAAACAAAGTACCGGGTACCTCGCAGCAGTCACTGCGTGGGTGTTATTGTTGTGCATCAGTTTTATATGCCGCTTTTCTGGAGACCCAAAGACTCTTCATAAAGGTTGCATTATTTAAGCACTCGCACGTTCACACTCTGCTGGTGCTAAACTACGTTCTGTCGCCACAGTTCTCCTGGTGCAAGTGGACAGAAGAGTGGCTGCCACAGTAAAATATATATATAATATAAATTTTTTTAACTCATAAATGGGGAAAAAATGATTTAAGGCTGTGTTGAAGTTGTGGCTTCAGCCTAAAGTGATGTAGTGCCTTGTTTTTTCTGGAACTAGGGTTTGGTCAGAGAAAAACATTTGCATGTGAAGGGGCACTTAAATGCAAAGCTTCCTGGACTTTCAGTGTCTGACATGCAAAACATGTAGGGGAGCAGTTAACATAAGCATAGAGTGAATGCAGGTGCACTCCAGTCAAAACAACCAGCATCTCTTGGAGTTTTCAATATTCCCAGAGATAGTTATTAAAATGAGTACTGTGATTTTTATTGGCTCGTGTGACAGGTTGTTTTTAAGATTTTGTGAGGATTATCGACAACAGCCCTACAGCAGAAACTTGTCATTTGTGAGTAAATGTTAAAGACTGAAGATCAAAAAAGCTTCCAGAATGCCTCGGTCTTTCCTCGTGAAAAAGAAATCTGGAGTTTTTCGAGCCTACCGATGGAAAAACTCTGACCAGACAAAGTGGAGAGAAAATAATGCAAATGGTAAGATTTTCATGTGTCTTAATTTTTTTTTCTCATCTCACCATTATTTGTTGATAAAATAGTGTCATTCTACCCTTCAAGATCTAAATTACACATCACTATGTTTGTTTCATAGAATAATTACATTATTCTTCATTGTACCCCCTTTAGTGAGTCAGGAGACGAGATTGTGGAATTTTGATTCTCAAGAGTGGGCCACGGTGCCCCAGCCACAACCTACTGTAGAATGCGGGACGGCAATTCAAATTAAATTGCCAATGCCTTTGTCAGAATCCAGAGGAAAACTTACTGACCGCATGCATGACCGATCCACACAAATGCTTCAGGGGTCCATCTACAACCCCATCACACAAGAACTAATAAGCAAAGCAAAGGTAAGATTGTAATTTAGTGAATCTCAACACTGCTGTCAGAGGAACAAAAACAATAGAAAATCACTGTACCATATTAACAAAGAGCTTTGTTTCATTCTAACAGACCCAAATCCAAAATTTTCCTGATGCTGGCAGCTTTGTGTGCTCAGTGTGCCACAAGATGTTCCCCCTGCAGCGCATATTGATTCGCCATATGAAGTGTCATAGCTTGATAAAGCGACATCCTTGTCACTTTTGTGGCAAAGGATTTAATGACACTTTTGACCTAAAGAGGCATATGCGAACACACACAGGTGAGGAAAGAGTATCTGTAATTTAATACATGCAAAACTGTTTCCATCACTACAGAGCACACAATATGTTTCCTTCTTTTTTAACATTGTGTGTTTTATGCCTGTGAATATTGTTATTCATCCAGGCCATTTTATTTTTAGGGCATTGATTCAATTGCAACTGAGTTGTTCAGATTACATGGAAAGTGTCTAAATCAGGGGTCCCCAACCGCCGGTCCGCGGACCGGTACCGGTCCGCCGGGCATTTGGTACCGGGCCGCACAGAAAGAACTTGCCTTAATTCCGTTTTATTTATTTCGGAATACGAAAGATGTTTT